GCATACATATTTATTTATAATAACTTGCTAACTATTTTCTAGACAATCATGTTATAACGCATCTTTGTTTTTTGTTGGTTTTTTTTGTTTTTTTCTGGAATAAAAATCCACAGCTGTTGCAAACGTTGCCTTTTCTATGAAACATTGTGATGTAAAACTGAAATCAATGAATTCTGTCATCAGTCTAGCGAAATGCTGCATGCTAAAACAATGCTTCCAGGGCAATATGGATCGTGCAGCCGCACTGTCAAAAAAATAAAAATAAAAAATTGTTCCACTGTTAGCTTGTAGCTGATTAGCTGAACCATGCCCATTGCGATTATGCGTACACACACATTTATACGCATGCACATCTGACTTTAAGTATGCTAGTTAGGTTGAAGATCACATGAACAGCAGATGTTTCTGTCATAATTTTACAAAAATTATGCCAAATACCGGGGCAGCATCTGAAAAATTTAGTAAACATTTTAAAGTTCTGTAGCAAGGTCCGAAATCTGACGAGCCAAATGTGTTTGATGTAGGGGTGGGAATCTTACGCTCTCACGATTCGATTCAAAATCGATTTTTCATTCAAAACTGATAATGTGAGCCCATTTGTCGTGTTCCCAAAGTGCTTCATCTTCAATTTTGCAACCCTTGCACACCTCGCTCATGTCAAACTCAGACTCGTTCAGTAAAAACCAAAATGAGCCCAAATCTTAACGTTCAATGAAGACAGGGGTCAGTTGAATCTCTCTTTCCATCAATTTTGTAGTTTCCTCTTTTGTTTTGGTGCTTTCTGCACATTCACATGTCCCAGAAGCAGCTGCATGATGATGTCAGCACATCCCATGTAGTTACAAAATGGAGGCTGCCAGCCATTAGATTTGCTTAATTTTTTTTATTTATAAAAATCGATTTTGGGACATTTTAAATCGATTCTGAATCTTTGTAAATGAGAATCATGATTCTGATGTAAAACGATTTTTTTGGTGCACCCCTAGTTTAATGGTCTGTTGTTAGACTCAGTACTTTATTATACTGAGGATTTCACCATCGACTCAGAGCCAGGAGTCAGGACCTGTAGCTGCCACAAGGCCCCACAGTTCTGAAGTGTTTGTTCATCTTTATTGGAATTTAATTGGTTTTCAAATGTGGAGCTGCCCTTTGAATGCAGAGATCTTTCTCTGTTTTATTTGTCCAAAGGACTTTTGTGTAACTTTGCAAACTTCAGCTCTGCTGTGGTGTTCTTTTAATAGAGGAGAATATTTTCTCTGGTAGCTCTCTTAAACAAGCCCCTAATTGTTCTGTATGTTTTTTTTAAATGTCTGCCTCCTGTGGGAACAGTAAGGGTAAACTTAGTTTTTCTCCAGCGGCTTTGCAATTTTGTTTTGGTTTCTGTCAGAATAATGAAGATACAGCATAATAATATTTCATAAATAAATACTATAATAATTTGAATTATAAAAATATAAATGTTCCTCTTGAGTGCAGATTGTTACTACTGTAGTAGGTAGGCTGGAGTTTGTTTTCACARCCCTTTGTTGGAGCGAATAATTAAAGTATTGTTAAATGTGTTTTTTAAATTAATTTCCTTATGTCTCCATTCAGGATTGACAGGAAAATGTCTTGCAGTCAGACAAACTACAAGCTGGATGAGGCTCAGGCCATCTTCACTGAGCTGCGGAGCATCAAGAAGGCCATCAGCACAGGCGAGAAGGAGAGGCAGGACCTCATCCAGGTAGGCGCCTGTTTTTTTCTTTTTTTTTTTCTTTTTTTTTTAAATCCAGCAGCTGCAGCTTCTGGAGTCTGTTTGCATGTTTGATGCTGACCTCTAGTGTCCACAAGCCTCCACTGTTCTGCTGCTTCTCCTTGTTTTACGCTAAAACTCATTTCCAGACATCTGAGCCACATCTCAGATTTTAATGACAATGCTAAAGTTTTTATTTAACCAGGAAGTCACATTGAAATGAAAAACTGCTTTGTTAAGAGCGGCCTAAACCAGGGTTGGCATCAGCAGCAAATACAACACAGTTCCCACATTTCAGTTAGACAACCAAATTAAAACGTCAAATAAATTTAAAACAACAGGTGCAAGTTAKGGAGTTGTTCTCAACACCTTTCAGTTTGGATTTGAAAACTCAGTGAAATTAACTCAGTCAGTTTCCAGTGTTTCTGCTGTGTTTTCCATGTAGGTRTAGAATGGACAAAAGCCTTTTTCCCAATTCAGTCTTGCGAGTGGATTTGCTAAACTTATTTATATTTAGGACCATACTGTGATACAGCTTTTCTGGGAAAAATGTAATTTATTAAACAATCAAATACGAAGAATAAATAATTAC